TCTTCTCCTTCACTAGCCACTCTTTCACAGGAGACTGTGTTGGCCACTCCATGAGGTACAGGTTCAGTATCCTTTTTGGGTACACCGTCTTTCAATGAGTTTAGCAAAGAAGGTTTTGGGTATCTGTCTGTTTCTGGAGGTCTGTCTTTTGGTCTGGCCCCTGAATGCTCCGATTTATTTGGCTGATTGCTCACATGAGAATAAGACTGATCTGTTGCTGTGTCCTTTTGAGCATTGAACCTTGCACCTGAAATATTTAGCCTCTGAGTTGTGCCTTCAGATGGTTTTAAGATCTCCTGCACTCTTTGTTGAAGTGAGGTCAAATCTGCATAAGAAAGACATCAATTAAAAATGATTAACTCTTTCCACACACTATACACACAATTCAGCACCTTTCCAAAAATCCGTCTCTCGAGAGAAGACAAAAGATGACCTGATTTAAGCTGCAGCAGAACATTACCTCTCACAACTGATTTACAGTGATGTTTAAAATTAGAAAACAAAAGTAAACAATGAGATCTTCCCATACAGAAATTTAGAGCCTGACAGAGCCTGGATAAAGCCTTATTACCATTCATTAAACCACACACCATCATGACAAGAGCCAAACAAAAAAATTACATCTGGTGTTCAGCTAAAAAGACTCCATAGACTCTTTGATTGCATGAGATCTGGATGCAAACATAGCACTTACTTTAAAACTGTCATCAAACAAAACTAATATCATGGTAGCTCAGGCATTACCATTTCCATAATAAGGCAAAGAAAAAAGACATTTTACAAAGATATCTGCCTTCTATTAGAAATGATGATGCCACAGTAACATCATGTTAATCTAAATATTGACCCCAAAAATAGAAGTCTTATTAAAATGTAACCTGAACTGGTAAATCTCTTGTGGGAAATTAACTAGGTTTCCTTTCATAATTTGCACTCTAAAGGGTGAAAATGGGTTAACTCATAAATACTTTTGGAAGCCACTGTAAAAATTTAGTGTTTTGGTTCGATTCAGCAGATCTAGTTTGAAGTACATGGATACTACAACACATATCCATTAAAAAGGTATCCATATATTAAATATTAAAATTGAGAACACCAAATACTAAGCTACATAATTATATTGAATAACTCATCACCAACCTCCTTCCTTTATTATTTGACCATAATTGTCTCCACCATATTTCATAATCTTTCTTACAAACTCCTTTAAAATTTCACACTCCTTTTCAAGTCTTAATTTCTCTGACTGCGACATGTCCTTAGCTTGAAAAGCATATTTTGGAATAGCTGTGCTAACATTGTGCAGTGCTCTTGGCTCTCCCTGTTCTTTAGAGGATTCCTCTCTACTCGTACTTGCATATTGTGTTCCCTCCTTTTCTGCCATCTAAGGAATTAATGACATTAACTCAATAAAACATTATTGAATAAAACGTCAATTGAATAAAACATATTCTGTCAAATATATTTTTCACATTTCATATGTACAATCCTTATTTACTGTAATTCTCAAAGATTGTGAAATTATTAATCTACATGTAATAGGTAACACATTACCTTGAATAGGTAAAGTACAGATATTTTTGAAGCTTCAACATCCTCCCCCCTCCCCCACCCTAGGAAACCCAAGGGCATTTGATTGTTGGCTGTGCTCTGGACGTGGGGAATATAAACCTTGCCTGGGTGTAAGACAGAATTTCCCCTTACTATATCTAGTATATAATATCATGCAGACAAGTGATGAGAATAAAGAAAAATATCAATTATGGGATTACTACTTGATCTGTTACCAAATTCTCCAAACTAACATAGTGAGAATCAAACTTCTGAAAACCCCAAAGAAAAAATTCTAATTAATTCCCTTGAAGGTTTTTTTTCATCCTTAAATGTGAAACTCAGAAACCCTTAAAGAACAAATATATTTTATTAATATTAATATTATTCTGTTTGGGGAAAGAGCCACACAGACATTAGATATCTAAATTGAGAGCGGTACCAAGCTGTACATTTCAGGTGTGCATTAGAATTCAATAGCACCATTATTACTGCTACCGTTGCAGAGATGACAAAAAAAAAATTAATTACCAAATATCAAATACACTTTTCAGGACTTTATGTCTTTATCTGGTTCGATATTGTTTCGCAATATGCTATATCAAAGCATCACAACTCTCTCGTGATCAAGTGTACCAACATCTGGTTGTCTCAAATCAGATTACCGGTAAACACAGCTCTTTCGGAAACGTTTAATTTGCACTTAATGAAATATATTTAGATCCTCATTTGTGGATCTTATCTTAAGGAGACATTTACGAATAATGACAGCAGAGTTGCTAGTTATGGCAGGTAAATCAACTTTCAGTACGTCTATTGGTTAGCTTTCCCTTTACGTCTGTTGTCTTTCAGCGCTTACAGCTTATTCTTGAAAAACACGACGAACACTTGGATGTAAAAAATATGTATGTGCGCTTAAGCATGTCGATACGAGGTTGAGATTGGCGAATGGATGTCACACGGTTTTACGAGAATAATTTTAAGTTAAGTCATAATCTCTATGAATTGACAGATAATAATAATTTTGACACCGAAGTTCGATCAGACTTTCGCGGGAACAAGATACATTTCATTATTAATTGTGCTTTTCGGTATTATGTTTACAAATATAATAAACGTGTATTTAGATAATCTTCATTCTTGTTTCGGTAACAAAACCCTTTATGCTGAGACTGAAACAATGTTTGGTCGGAATTTTACCATAAAAAGGCCTTTCTCACGATATGGAACGAAATGCAACAAGAACGTACCGTGGACTTTGCAACTTGAACCTTGTCCACCTAGTTTGAACTTTTAATTCCTTAGGCTGCTGACGAAATACTTGCAGTGAATATACACTGCAGTTTAATCAGACCTATTTGAACAATAACAATTTTCATTCAACCTCGATTTTATCCTCTGAGTCCGTTTAAAGCAAAAACTCTACTCACGTGCCTTTCATAATAGTGTCATTTAGCGACTATACCGCTGACAAGGAGCCAAAATGACCTTGGGCTCGAGTTTGCTGAAGACTGGGATGAGAATGACGTAAGAGTGAAAAGAAAAGATAGCCTTTGCCGAGTAATTTTCTTTTTATAAAAAGAGCCTTGTCGATTAAGGTTGAGATTTATTGGAAAATGAAAAGTGTGCATTTAATTTTTAAGTTGTAACGTTTTTTTCTGCTCCTTTAATCACAACACACACACCAAACAGCTTACTTTCCATCATGTACCATGAAAGATAAATTAGGTTTTTGTGTCTTTCTGCAATATTTTTGCTTTTTGAAAGTACGGTAATGTTCTTTTCAGTGACAAAAATGAAAATATTTAGTAAAAAAATTGTCCCATCTCAACCCTTCCAGCCAAAAAAGTAACTCTTGCATGCTACACATGCCTATGTTTTTTCAGAAGTGAGTGTAACAAAGACAGCATGTGCATTTTCTTTTTAAGAACTTGTGTTTAGGTCCAACAATAACCCATCCTCCAGAGTGAAGGCACACAGGAAAACTTGGGACCATATTCACAAGGAAATGGACATGAGTGGTTTTAAAATCAATGTTCAATGTTTAGGCAGTGTTCCTTTTTTTTTTTTTTTTTTTGACTGCAACACAGAAGTTGGGTTTATCTGGAATTTCACTCAGAGGTTTACTTCCTCTGTTGAACTCAGTGCAAAGCTAACATGTAAATTTTGAGAGACATTGATGATATAATGATAACGTAGCCTCCGAGCAGAGCAGGAAAATAATATTCTGTTAGATGTAAACTTTATTTCATTCATCCTTGTGTAAATACACCTCTAACCAGTGAGTACATGCACAAATGAAATGTATGCAAAACTGTCCAAAGCTTGAGAGTTAAACACTTGCCTTTGAGACTGTAATGTATTTGCACTCTGTTCATAAAGGAGCATCCCAATGGCCTAGTTTGTTAATGAAATGAATTTTGGGCCAAACTTTAACCAGGAATTTCAATAAAAGCCAGTGACTGGTGGTCCGCCTTCACATATGAGACCTCTTACCACTATGTTTTAAGCATGCCTCTCGTAACCATCACAGGGAAAGGGGCCTACAGTATGGCCCTTCTTCTGGGTACTGGCACCTTTTACACCACACACTGGATTGTTTAGACCCTATGCAAGACAAACAAATTCATCTGCCTTGCTGTCTGGGTTAATAACAACTTCCTTATGTCCCCTGTCTGTACAACCTTCATGGAGCATCTATTATCTTAATCAAAAAAAAATTTTTTTTTCAGTTGCCATTTACAGTCATTTCTTTAGCTTGTTTCTTGACTCTTTCTTCGTATTCCATTCTGCTTTGACTGCAAGAATAGAAAATGAGACCATCAGTAAGACAAAATTTGGTGATTTATCCACTATATGTGACTCCTGTACTATTGCACTACATTTCACCACCTGAACATCTAAAACAGGCCAAAAATGGGAGGCAGTACTCAGCCTTCAAACAGTTTTGTAACTGAGGTTCTCTATAAAGGATAGATTACAAGACAACTTGGTCTTGACGTTTCAAATAGCTTGTGCATCAAAAGATATAAAGTAGCCAAACAATGAACAATTCTTTGACAACACTTTGAATAACTACTGTTACCAAGAGCTTAATAAACTCAAGTACAATACCAAGTGTTCCTTAAGTTGAATTATCAAGATCAAACTCACCAATACACTACATATGCTTCAGCCTGTGCTGGTTCATGGAAGTTTGGTTCACTGAGCAACAACTGAATTCCAAGAAGAACCTGAACAGGAAATAAAAATATGACATAACAGCAAAACATCACACTCACTTTAAACACACACTTTGCTCTAAACTTCAGCATGGACCAATTCCAACTCTGGGGTCCCTCAGCATATATCAGCCTAGTGACTTTGTATCCTTAATTGCATCATTAAACACTTTGGTATGACACCACTCTTTAGGTGTCTGATATTTATACTATGAAAAAGATGAACTGTTTTAAACCTTTGACCCTTAAAAGTAAAGAACACCTAATTTCTTCTTACAACATCAGCAATGAGTCACTCATTAAGGTCAGGAAAATAGTTAAAAGGAAATGATCACCAACAAAAGAAGCTCCTGATTGTTTAACAAATTCTCCCGGTCAGCACCTTAAGAAATGCATTGAGAACACTGTGGAGAATATGCATACTGATGTAAGGGCGTTAAGGGTGTAAAATAAGAATGGTAAGTCATTAGGGGTACTTGACAAGATAATGTGGATAAGCTTTATCTGATCTTAACCCTCAACAAGTAACTTCTCCCTACAATATCAATGCACTATCCAACAAACAGGTAATGAGAATACTCAAACTTATCAGGAAGCTGTTATCTTGATCTGGCACCAAATTCTCAAAATTTATTTACAAGGAAATGTGAAGCAGCTAGAGGGGAGAATTAACAATCAGATCTTGGGAGTTAAAAGGTTCATGTAGTTGGAAGAGTAGGATGATGAAAGTTACTTTGATGATCCAAACCAACTCATACTGGTTGAAAACCCTGGCATTGTTTTGTTATTTCCTACAGAACTGTTAAAAGGTTCCAAGTATTGAATCAGATCATGTTTTTATGCCTCCTTAAGAATTTTATCACAAACTGGATTTATTTTGAACTTTTAAATCACAGTGTACCTCTTTGGTCGTAATTTGTGGCTTCCAACCTTTATTCTTGTCAATCAAGGACAAGGAAACTTTACCAGATGGAAAAACATTTGGATGCAAGATCACAGGATTGAACACACCTACAATGTAAATACATGGATATTCACACAACTGAATGAAATTATTAGATAATTTTGAATGCACTCAGGCATCTTCTATAGTTCTAAGTCCACTGAGTCAGTAAAAGCCTAGCTGCCTATGTCACCCCCAAGCAGGAGGTATATGAGGGATCTGGCATGAAAAATGAGACTAAACCCTTTGCCTTCTTCCCACTACCTTGCCCAAGTTGCGCAGCAGCCACAATAAAGGCCTGCTTGCTGAATATTCATTCCTGCACTTCCTTGCTGTATGATGAAATAATGGCCATAAACTGACCAACCCATCGATGACATCATTAACAAAGTGGTGCACCAAATACAATTGTTCACAAGAATATATGTTGCAATTTAAAATTTCAGGCTAAAATGAATTTAAGCTGAGTTTGATTTGTCTTCTATTTGTTTAAGGAACTACAGTAGTGTATCTGGAACATTGAGGAAACACAAATCAAACTAGTGTGAAATCAATTTTTGGCCTTCAAATTGAAACTTTATAGTTACATGCATGCAAATGATCAATTTTAAAAGCAAAAAAGTTGGAGGAATTTACTTACAGTTAGGTGGAGAGAATGGATAGTCTTGGGGAAATGAAAGCTCTAGCTTGTACATGCCACCTTCCCAAATTGTCTAATTTGAAAAACAATTATATGAAAGTTAACATTCACAAATTCATATTCAGTTAACTAGGTTTTAAAATAAGGTTGGCAATGCCATTTGCACTCATTCACTCAATCAGAGGGAGTAAGAGCAAGCCACCTAGAGTGTTATTCAAGTTTTATATATGATGCACAATAAGTCAAATACTGGGGCACTCCTAGCTCAACTATTTTCAAAGTTTTCATTTAGGAACCTTAAAAAATTTTGTCTCTGCTATTTAAATGATTTAGTGTTTAGACCATAAAAACTTGCTCTAAGACTGGCAGAAACAGATCATCAAATTGGCAACTTTCCTTGAAAATTTGATCTCAAAATTTTTCTCTAGTTTCTGAGGCAACCAAAGTGGTCTTGGCTGCCTAAATGTGTTTAACATGAAAAAACCAAGAAACTAAGAGCACACTTATAGGTTAAAAACCTATCATCTATTGCTGTAATAAATCCATGGAAAACTGAAGTGTATTTCAAAAAAGAAATACACATTACTGTGCTTTGTACCAGTTTACCAGCATAATAACCCACTTAAGATGTTGTGGGAACATGATAAGATGTGGGAATCACAAGCCAGAGGTGAATAACAAATTTTTCAAGTGTTCTCCCAATATCCCCAGAGGTTCAGTGTGTTGATAAGCTCATAAAAAGTGCACTCTATTGCTTTAATAAATCTGTACCCAGCTGGTGATGTCTTTCTACATTTATGGTAAATTGAAGGTGACCCTGCTCAGAGGGTAATTTGATTTATATAGATAGCATGTAAATATCACTAATACCCTTTTTGGTCCTGGAATGGCTGTGGAGAAAAAGAATATCAAGTTCTTAAAAGTCAGGGTTCAAAGACAGCAATAGATCACTATAAATTAATCATTTAATTTCAACAAAGCTTCCAAAAATAATATCAAATGGCAAAAAAACTACTATGGTAGAACTTAATTCACCACCGCTTAATCTCACCACATCTCCAAGTTAGCCAGTCAGTTTCTCCTCCGTCCTTCTTTACAGGATTAGCAATGAAGTCCTATGCATGAACAAACAGTATTGAGGAATTAACTTTTGCAGCACATTCAAAACATAATAACCCTTTAATCGGTCATGTGTTGGAGGAGCTGAGGAGAAGAAAACAATTGGTGTTCCGGTGAAATCATGTTTTCCATCTGAAATTCCGGTGTGACTTTGCGGGAAGCCTTCTTCCAAGATCTCTTCCTCGATTTTCTCCTTAGAAATTTAAATGCGATAGTAATTAAAAATCAAACCTTAGGATGACTGTGTTTCCACGCCTTGTACTCCTCTTTTAGTCTTTCCACTGGATCAACTTGTTGAGCTGAATGTGATCTCGCAGCCGCCATTTTGAAATAAGCGCGCTTGAAACAGTTTTTGGTCAGTGGTTTTACACATTAGGTTACAAAAACAATAATGGCGGCGAGTTCTTTTTCGTTTTGCGCTAGAAGTCTGTGTTTATTTCCTTCTCTGAAATTTCGATACTTTTGTACTCAAGGTGATTCACACACCGTTCATGTTCCTGTGATGTTGAAAGAATGTCTCAGCTTTCTTGCTCCTCGTGACGGACAAGTAAGTCGTTTTTATTCCTTTTTTTAGCTGAAGTCATGGGTGTCCAGAGTTTCGATTTTCCTTGAAATCGAACCCATAGTAATTCTGTTGTTCCTGGTTTTGGACAAGGTTTCGCATACTTTTAAATGGTATATCTCCTGACGCTCTTTCACTGGCTCTGGCTTCAATTTTAGTCCTCATTAGGTTGCCGTCCCTTGTGGAATTAAAACAATTGCTGTAGAATTTGCAATTTTAGATGAGAGAAGCCGTAGTTATTGTTTACGTCACCTTAATAAGATCTAGATTAAAAATTTACCAAAATAAACTAAATCCACCAGTTTATTAAAGTAAACTTTTATACCGTGACTACGTTAGTTGAGTTTGTACATGAAGTGATACAAATTCCAAGACGCTGCTACTGACGATTGAAGTCCTTAGCTGATTTAGTTTTTTCCTGTTAGTTATATGTCTTGAGTGTGACTCAAATTTGTCATTCAAACAAAATTTTCTGCTTTATAAAGGGATTCTGCACTTAAATAACTTCACATCTCCCTGTCTTGCCTTAGTTTATTACTGCAATTTGCATTGGTTGACAGGTGCCATGTTTTGCTCACCTTCTGGGAGCAAAAGGAAGGAAAAAAACTTTGTGGTCATTGGACAAAAATGACAACAAAAAAATGCAATTCTTTCAAAATGCTAGTTCTAAGTGAAGAACTATGATATTCAGACAACTGGGTTGGCTGGGACCCCTTTTAACAGTGTCTTTTATCTTTAGTTTTCTCCTATTTCTGTCCAAGTAACCCACTTTAAAGTAAGCCAGGCAATTAGAGCACAAAAAACTTAACAACACCCTATCTTGTGGTTACCCCATAAGACCTTAGAGAGGTCCACACCAAAAGGCCAAGGCCTTGTTTCTCAAATCAGGTATCTCTACAATTCAAGTTTTCATTTGTTTAAAAAATCTGGGACAATTGGGACAGTGAAATTACTGATTGTTTGGGAATAACCCAACATAAGTAAACTGGCCTTAATGGTTTAAGTAGTGAGATGAGAGTCTTTTGCACTTAACCTACATGTACACTGAACAATAGTTCGTTGTGTTTTATTATTCTTATAGTTTAATGTTATAAACTAAGGGTAATGGAAAGTTATCACTATGATATCTTTTATTGTCTTTTGCCATTTTAGGTGTTTATAGATGCAACATTTGGATCAGGGGGACATACAGCAGCAATCCTGTCAAGTGCAAAATGTAAAGTTTATGCCTTTGATAGAGATCCAGATGCTATAGAAATAGCAAACATCCTTTCAGAAAGACCTGAATTCAAAGGAAGACTAATTCCCATGTTAGGGAAATTCAGTAATATCTTTGAAATTTTTAAAAGCCAACGTGTTAAGAAGGAGTCTGTAAACGGAATCCTCCTTGATATTGGTGCATCAAGTGTACAATTTGACAATCCAGAGAGAGGGTTTTCATTTTATAAAGATGGTCCTCTTGATATGAGAATGGGAGAGAGAGATGATATGCTGGAGTCAACAGAAGGCAAGAGGTTGCTGATGACAGCAGCTGATGTGGTGAATTCTATCAATGAAACAGAACTTACTGCTGTTTTGAGACAGTATGGACAAGAAAAAGAAGCGGGTTAGTGGCATTAACTTCCAAATGATAATAGAGGGTACTACCCCCTTAGGTACTAGCAATGTAACAAAATTGTGAAAGCTGGAAAACACCACCTTGTGGATTAATTACTATCTATTGGATGAGTGTTAATAAAAGAGACACGCTTTGATTTTTAATGCTAACACCTTGCCTTGAGGGAGGAGTTAGAGAGCTTTGGACTTTGAGGGGAGGGTTCCAGGTTCATTGACTGGTGTTCTTGGGTGAGACATTTAACTCTCACAGTACCTCTACAATTGGAGAGTATAAATGAGTGCTGACAATTTGTCAGGAACTGCTAGCATCCCATCCAGGAGTGGTTCATGTAGCAATACTCCTCATCACCTCATTTATGGTGGGCTAAATATGCTCTGAATAAAATATTAACTTCTTTTGATTGCTTAGTGGCTTACCTCAAGTGTAATGTGGCCTATGGCTCTCTTGGATTAAACCTTGGGCAAAGATTTTCATACACATTTGTGTATGCTAGAGGAAGATACTTTACTCTTGCACTGCTTCTCTCTTAACCCCAGAGTACTCATGGGTTAAAAGTGAACTTTCAGGAAAGCCAATCCTGGTTACAGTAGGGAGGGTAATCTGAACTGGATAAGCACCCCTCCCAGGTGAAAAACATGGCTCATAGTGGGTTTATGTTGGCTGGATTACCAGCCTACATAGATTACTGCTTGTTTGGGAAATAAGCCAGTGCTCACCCCTCCCCTCTCCCCCTCCCTCCCTCCCCCCATTGTTCCTTCTTGGGAGGATCAAGACTACTCAAAAAAATGGCGGAAATTGGGCCAAGGGTCTATGTTTACTCACAAAGAATGGAAAGAGATTCAGCACTGTGGACCAGTCCACCATAGTGCTATAAGTATAACGTATTCCTTAATTTTTGTTTTCAGTTCGCATTTCAAGAGCAATCGTCAGAGCCCGGTCAAAGATGCCGATACTTTTCACAAGACAGTTAGCAGCCATTGTGACTGCTGCTGTTCGTCACAGCCGGTCGGACAGATTTGCCCGACCCATTCACCCAGCAACGAGAACGTTTCAAGCATTGCGCATACTCGTAAACGATGAGCTAAATGAACTTCAGTGCGTCCTAAAAGCGGCGCATAAACTTCTCCGTCCTGGCGGGCGGCTAGTGGTCATTTCATTTCATGCTTTAGAAGACTCTATTGTTAGGCATTTCTTTAAAGATGCGAATTCTGAGGTGAGTTACACGCGATCCAGAACAAACGTGGCGGGCAAAGCGAAAACAAGCGCTTGGTTGCCACTTCATAAGAAAGTTATTTATCCTACCGACGAAGAAGTTTATCTCAATCCTCGATCACGATCTGCTAAATTACGAGCTGCTGTAAAAGTGGATAATTTAGTAATGGATTTAACTGAACTCACAAGCTGGTTAGACAAGAATTCAGGGGAAACGTTTTACAATGGTTCAACTCCAGTCTGAACATCTTTGGAGCATTCAAAGTAGGAAACTGTTACTCTTTTTTATTTTCTGGGAGAACTGTCCATTTTTTGTACTCAATCGTGGCCGTTTTAATGGATTGGATTCTTTTTATTGAGAGTATTAAGAAAAACAACTCTTTGGTAATTTTGTATCAAGGGGTGAAATGAACTGGAAAGTTTTGATCTTATCGTCGACTGTAAATGCTGGGAATGTGAAGGAAACGAGAGGAAACATTGAATAACAAAATTCTTTTAATACCCAAAAAAAAGCTTCAATACAGCGTTCTTAGCAAAAAAAAAAAACGGGTTAATTTACAGGGTTATGATATACAACTTTAACTTAATTTCTTTGCTGTTACTTTGGATGATCTTCATCCAAGTGATTTCCTTCCTTTTTCCTTCCTTTCCTCTAGTGGTTCCTGCGATGATGGAAAAAGAAATGGCATTTATAAGTTTCATTAATACTGGTCAACTCTAGTCGATAGAGGGAGAATATTTTGGGTTCTTGATGTACCATATCATTTTCTCTTTTCATCTCTGTTGATTACGGTTCGATACGGTATTCATTTAGGGGAGACACTCACTTCTTAATTGCTTTCTATATTCTGTCTTTATTCATCGATCAAGTCTCTAAAATAAGTCGCCACAATCATGTTAATTGATTAAAATACTTTTACATCATTGAGTAATCCCATAATGATATTACTAACACCTTTACTATGTTCTCATTACAGTACGACCACAGAAGTCTAAAGCTCGTCTTCTTATCTTGCTTATCTGTATTCGTTCCAGAATAATATTTTTTCAGCCTTTTCTGTTTTTCAAGGTTTTACCATTTTGCTTTTAAAGCTCTCAATTCGATCACGCGTGAAAAGTGCAGGTTGACATGCGTAGGCGATAGGTCACTCGTGTCTGCCCTCTCACGCGCGTCAATCTGTCAATCATAATTCGCGACTTGGCCTGTCGCGGATTATGATTGACAGATTGAACCCCTCTCCAACTTGACTTGTCACGCTATCAGCATAGTTAGATCCCTTAGAAAATTATATCTGCTTACGGCTTTAGAAGTACAGTCTAAAGCTCTGCAAGAAATACCTCAAACACGGGTCTGGACAAAATATTAAAAGGTGGGTGTGAAACATTTCTGTAAATCGTCGCAATACTGGCGTGATGAAAACTGCGAGCAGTTGAGCCTCGTCGAAAGCCCCTGTACAGTTCAAGAGAGATAACACTGGTCAAAAATTGAAGGAAACCACTTTTTATGGAGACTTTGGAAACTGAATTCAAAGATTAACTAAACAAAAGTCCAAATTTTATGCCTCTGAGGTTCGATGATAGTTGAAGCTAAAAAAAATACGATCAGGGCAAAGCAGACAGCGTGCGTGCTTCGTGTTTAAATCAGCCATTTTCAAGACGTCATTGCTCTACCATGGCCACTATAATTTATTCGCTATGGCGCTAATTTGCACAAGAAAACAAACCCTTGAAGGATTGGAGTTTTTATGGTCAGAAAAATAATGTCTTCATTGTGTGAAAGGGGCCTGTATTCTGATATTAAATGACCAAACGTAGTTTCCTTCTTAGATCTCTGGTCGGCGGTTTGAGTTAGTCACACAATATCCACAATCCTTTACCAGTATCAAATCGCTAGTTTAAAAAGCTCTATGAAAGCCAATTGACCCAAACTTTTTATGAATTTATGAATCATATGTGGATTATCATGAAATTTTGCCATGGATATTGTCTTGTAAAGTACTTGCTCCCTGAAGTCATAAAATTGTGGCGCTCTTCAATCGAGAGTGGATGCTCACCCCATCCATGTTTCTATTTCATTTTTTTGTTTGTTTTTTGAAACACACTTACAATACAAAACTAAAACCACAGAGAGTTCCACATCATAGTCCGGGGGTAACTGTCAAGCAAGATGGCCAGTTTTAAGATTTTCATTTTCGTGCATACGAGTAACAGGTTACAGGCGTAGATTCAAATATATCACCACCCATAACAAATTTACAAAAGGTGATAAAAGCGATCTGTAAGGATACTGAATTTGATTTATTTGATTTGTTTGACCTGCAGCTATATATGTCTTGAATGGAATCTAGACAAGCATTTGTCCATTTCTATCAATTCCTGTCATATTGTTAATAACTCTGTTAATGTCATGATTGATTTATTGTGGGTAATACCATGAGCTCACGTGGGAATTCTGAATTCATTTTTGCTCTTGCTGTTGTCATTGGTTAAACATTTTAAGGTGGTTTGACTTTGCTACTTGCTGCTACAACCTGCAACGTGCAGTCTCTAGCTCCCTGCATTTCATAGACTCAGTCATTACTGTTCTATAGTTCAAAGAGGAGAGAGTATCCTCCCCTGAGTCAAAATGAGAGCTAGTTTTCGATCTGTCTACTTGTTTCAATTTCAGAAACCATGTTTGCCTTTGCTGCAGTTTGTGGAGTGGCTCTAGTTCTGTTGGCCATGTTTATGAGAAGACTGCAAGGTCAGAAACCGAAGTTCCAAAAAAATTACAACCATGACAACGGACGCCCGCTTGGTATTATGGAAGAATTGTTAAGACATGTCCACGACACGACTGGAAGTCTTATTCTTGCCGACACTTGAGTTTTGCGCTCCCAAAAGGAAATTACAGGATCAGTGGTGAGGAAAGCAATGGAACTACTCATGAGAAGACACCCTAATTTGCGCATGTGCTATCAAAAGAACCAAAACGGAGAATATCACCTGCAGAAGATGACAACTCTTAAGGTGGATTTACGAGAGCAAAATACCACCGACTGGAAAAGTGTCATGGAGGAGAGCTTGCTGGAGAAATTTGATGGAAAAAATGGTCCTCTTTGGAGAGTCACCTTCCTTCCAAATGCTAGGTACCAGTCGAACGCAGATGAAGAAACCCCAGAAATAACCTCACACCCTCATGAGTGCATTTGCATAGTTGGCTTTCATCATATCATAATAGATGGGCAGTCCTTTTCGAGAATGTTTGCAGAGTTTAAGACGTATTTGGGCAACATACTCAACAATGAAGAACCTCAAGTGTCCTCCATGCAAATGTTGCCACCAGTAGAACTGTACCTTGATGAAGTGACCCCGCCTAAGTGGTACCACTTTCTTTTGCCTATGGTATTTGGAATACTGGGCATGGTACCCGGATTCACCACACGAATGATGGGAGGATTTGTTCCAAAAGGTAATGCCTTTACCAGAAAATATGGCGTCGAAATCCAACGATATCCGCACATTCAACCAAAGACGAAGATTATTCCCTTAGAGTTTACTGAGGACGAGACCTCAAGGTTACTGAAGAAGTGCAAGGAGCATAAGACAACAGTACAGGGGGCTGTTCAGACAGCAGCAGGTGTTTCCATGGTCACCATGTTAGAGGATCTGAAGCTAGAAGTCCCCACCCGAGTCACAGTCAATATCAGACCCTTCCTGAGATCAGAAGTACCAAATGACTATGCCGGACCGTACTTTCTTGGCGTGGAATGTAAAAACCTGGTGGTCGCTGCTCCAGATCCTGGTGTATTTTGGAATATGGCTAAACAAGCCTCAAATGACATCCATGCCAAACTGAAAAACAACGTACCCATCAAGGAATGGTTAGTCATGAAGTATCTGATCCCAGTGGTATTTGGAGCAATGAGTGAAGAACCTAAAGAAGATGATGGATTCGCTGGACGTTCCCGACAGCTAGTAGTTTTCACTAATTTGGGTTACGCAAAGTTTCTCGACGGATCTCCCGATGATAGCGTCATCCTTCGAGCAAGGTTCGGTTGTTCTGCCGAGCACCAACAAGGAACCATTTTTAGCAACAGCATGATGACATTTAATGGAAAGTTATTTTGGACAGTGACTTATTACAGTAACGTTGTAAGTAACGCCTTAGCCCAGAAGTATGCCAGTTTGGTTAAAGAAACTATTCTTAAAGCGATTGAAATGTGAAGACTTAATCATTACAACTAAACATGATGCTCCAGGTTCGTGATATCAAACTTTTCCCCGCTCTTTCCCAACATCAAGCTTTTCAATTTTTACAAACACAATAGAACCTCGCCTACTCGAACATGGTTAACTCATGCTCCATGGTAACTCGTACTTTTAGCTAACTCGAACCCCCATTTTTGTTTCCCTTCACAGTTGAGTTAACGGGGCTCTACTGCGCATTTAATAATAGGGGGCGACAATCTTAAAGGTGCAGAGAAGATAAATCTTCCAGTCAGCTATGCTCTTTTGATCATATTCACATCAGTACAAAAGGTATATAAACGATCAGCCCTCAGTTCACAACATGTGCAGCTTGTCGAGATCTTGGCTTGTATTCCTTAATGCTTCCTCCACTGTTTACTTATAGAATTCATTCAAGATTCTTAGGCTTGGTCGGCAAGGCATAAAAAAAATATAGCAGAATGATGTATTTTAGATTTGAGTGTAATAGCAGAAGTCCTAATGATTTTAGATATATGAAATTCATATATTTGCACTGTGGTGAAGTGAAGTAAAGAAAAGAAGAGCTCCTCGCAGCTAAGAACACTACTGAAACGAGTAGTTGCATTGAAAATAGGACCTGAAAAAAATTTCAGGTCCGTACAGGATTTGAACCCATGACCTGTGCGATATCAATGCAGCGCTCTACCAACTGAGCTAACAAGCTCAATTGGGTCCAAATATACCATCCAAGTGATGAATAATGATTTTAGATATATGAAATTCATATATTTGCACTGCGGTGAAGAAACGAATGTAAGAGATCCTCGCAGCTAAGAACACTACTGAATTTTTTTTAATGTAACAGTTATGATGTCGAGCCTATCCGACATTAGATCATTTTATTCACGTTACGTATTGCAGTAGTATTAACATGTAAATTGTGAAATTAAGAATAATATAAAAATGACTTTTTAGACAAGTACTAAAACATGTTTCTGTTTTTTAAACTTAAAATGGTCAGCTACCATACTACTGTTTGCTAGAAATAAATTGGATTGTGAATAAACGCCGCCCTCGAATCACGAAAAACTTAATAAACGCCGCGGCGTTTAATCGAATAAATACGGTATCTATTGAAACACTGTGCGGTAGTCACATTGTGTAATTGATTAAGTCGCTTCCTGACAAAACCTAGCACAATCAACAACTGAGAGTTCTCAAACTACATAGGGCTCTACGTTTTTCATCACCAATGGTACCTAATCAGCTGTGCATACATCCGCTCAGTCAAATGATATCAGAGGGAACCTGCTACCACGCGGTCACGTGACTGCAAACCCGGCCGGAAGAGACAAGGGCACAAGCGCTTAAAATTCAATCTAAATTTATCCCACAATCGTGCAATTTTTAGGGATTATCGGCTTCAGTGAGTTGAATAGGGATTTAATGCCAATGGACATAGGGAAAGATTTTATGCTGAGGAAACTTTATTTTACTCCAATTAGTAATTAACATATTCAGCATATTTGATATCTTTAAGATATCACTAAGAGTGGTCCTTTCGACTTCTCGTCGGAAAAAGTTTTTTCCATTATTTTTTGTCCACGAAAAGGGATTAGGATACATGTTTCAAAAATAGTTGAGTTGCTCTCCAATCCCCTTTTTTTGCATCGCCACAAGCCAAAAATGATATTTAGCTAGACCACCTGTGTGGACAGCGATCGAAAGTGTAAATTTCACAGATTTTGTCCAGCGCGCAGCGACTGCAATAATATAGCTTACGGAATTCTATCTTGCTAAAAGTTACAAGATGTATGCATTTAGTTCACAGAAAAAATATGGAAACTTTACCTGAAATATTTTTCATACCAGGGTGATCAGAGGAGACCCTTCTCTAAGACCTTAATTTGCATATCAAAATTCACCAATTTGTACGAAGGAATTCTAAAATGCAGGCGCTAATCGGGCTAAAACAACATATCAATGCACAGTTTATACACCAATGAGGTCACCGGTTGTCTCAAACCCGCGAGTATATCTCTAACTTTCATCCACCAACATCGTAGAAACAACGCAAATCTACTGATGTGTTTGCTCAAATACGCTCGTATCAAAGATTATTTGCATAATTCTAAAAATTGACCAAGATCTCCTTTCGACCGTTGAAAACTTCGTTTGTTTATCCTCTACGTTGAGGATTTTAGGTTTTCATAACAGCCGAATGGAGAATAGATGCCTAGTACGTCGTTCCAAAGTTTTAAAATCCACGAGTTTCGCAACGATGCTTAGACCATACCGATATCTATTTTTTTTTTACCATTTCAAGGCCAAAATGACCGGAACAACATCAAACTAACTTGTACGCGAGGATTTCGCTGGATAGCTGGTAGTACTTCAAATGACTCGATACGTCGTCCCGGCAGAAATCAAGGCTGAAATATCAGCAGCTACTATGCGTAGTTCATGACCTGATATTTCAACTAACATTGTCGCGAAGGCGCCTCACTTTGTTTACTATGTAAGTCACGCAAGCGCGCAAGCGTTACGACTGATCACGTTTACGTGATGTTTCAGGACAACTCAACATTTATTCACCATTCAGTTGTTATGAGCATACAGATGGATTTGAGCAAACACATTAATTTGCGTTGTTTTTAGGATGTTGGTGGATGAAAGTTAGAGATATAGCCGCGGGTTTGAGACAATCGGTGACCTCATTAGTGTATAAACTGTGCAATGACATGCTTTTTTCACTCGATTAACGCCTGCATTTTGAAAATTTTTCTCGAACAGATATGCAAATTAAGGTAGTGCTGCTGCATAAATTTTACAATCTCGATCGCTGTCCACACTAGTGGTCCAGCCAAATATTGTTTTTGGCTTGTGGCGACGCAAAAAAAGAGAATTGGAGAACAAGTAAACTATTTTTGAAACATATGTCCTAACCCTTTTCATGAGTGAAAAATAAGAGAAATTTTTTTTCCGACGGGAAGTCGAGAGGACCGCTCTCAGCGTTATAAATTAAACCCATTCATGTATTATGCTGGGGGTCCTGTAGCTGAGGAATTTATGAATGAATTTATCTGTATGGGAATAAACTTATCTCGCTTAAGTAAATTGTACATCATGAGAGTTTCTTGGTCTGATTTAGGGCCGTATAGCCCGGTTTTAGTTCATCTGCTTTGTCTTCTATTAAATCCTTTCCCAAACGCGTTTGCATGTGTTTTTCGAGCTTGGGCTACCTGTGATATCAATTAGTCTAAAATTATAATATTTGCTGCTTCCCTCAGAAGCGTGGTCTCGTCGTCTCTAGAAGAAAGTGCACGATTCTGACATGTGATGGGAGAAGAGATCCAGTACAAAACGCCGAATTTTATCGAGCAACGGTGAGTTACTTCGCATTTGTAAGATGAACGAAACAAACGAGGGAGCTTTTTATTTGCTTTTTTCCTGTCTGATCCTCAGTTCAACTAAGACTATTCACTCGGGGAATATTTACTGTGAATTGAGTGAGATTTGACGAACGATCGCATGTCACAATGGTGCAGGATGTTCGATTCGCTCAGATCAACTTTTTTGCGAGCGACGGATGGTTGGCGAATCGTTGAATAAGAGACCATCAACTAAGTTTTGTCGAGGACAATGTCGCCCTCAGTCGTAATACTCGATACTGCATGACTGATTATATATTTCCTCAAAATGCTTAGCCTGTTTACTACATTTCGTTTAATACATTTCAAAATTGAAATATACTTTTTGATGAACCTTTTAATGAGTCAGATATTGTTCATAGATGGGCATCAGTAACGCAAACATTTCTATAGTATATCTATTTATCAAAAGCGTATGAAAAGCCACGCGTAAGGTTTCATCCGCTGGCTCAGATGATGGTGTGCTTCTAACGTGTTGACTGAAACTTACACTTTGAACTCTCCGTCTTTAAAGCCATTTTGTTTTCTGGATATTTTTGCATAGAGCCTCAAGAGAAGTGAAGCAGCTTATAAACCGTTTATTAATCTATCTTGTTGGCTACATTTCAAAGAATAAACCTCTGCCATTACTCAGAGTAAGGCGCTTCGTTCCTTGCACTACGATTTTACTCGATTTGCATCCTTTCTTATCACGTTTGATCATGGTCTCAATTCAGAGGCATAGAAACTGGGATTGTTATAAGAACCCCACTAAATCTCCTAAACTTGAAAGAAGCCTTGTTCAAACACAATTAACAAGTGACCATGAGTCAGTGGTGAAGGTAATATCATGATGGCCTAATTCGTCGATGAGTTTATTGAAATGAAAGTAAAAGGAGTTACTCAATCTCAGGATCAGAACCGCGGTTTTTCGAGGTTGGAGTTGGTTTCGCGCCAGTGACTATCAATTTTTTTTTTCTTTAGGAAACTTTAGTTTTAGCATTGGTAATGACATCAGTTAGGCGCCACCAGTAATCTTCCTTCAGTATACATATCAAGTTCAAAGCTGTGACGGATATTCTTCAGCTGTGGCCCGCGTGATTGAATTACTGCGAATATTTTAATCTTCACATTAAAACATTATGAGCTGCTGCAGTCGTGAATAATGAATAATGCCGAAAGCGCGAACACAACACATTTGCAATTGGTTTTATTGTCTATAGGTCACGCTATATAACAAAAATAGGCACATGCAACGGAGAGTCACACTTTGGGGCCAAATTGCCTAAGGCGTAAAGAGGCACAATTCAGTAAGTGAGAGTTGGGAAAAGAGACAGAACTAACCAAACCATGGTTGTCTTGGCGCTCATACAATGTACAGATTGCTTTGATATCTGATAACATTGTCTAACAAACTCGTATGGAAATCACTCCACGGTCCACTAAATAACTTCGTAGAGAAGACTACTCGAAAGAATTTTTCCTGCTCTTACTGAGCTAAAAAAGCATGAGAATGCCTCTTCCAACCCCGATTCTACGGTAGAATGTGGTTGCTAGGCAGGCCATTGAAACTGAGTCTCGAAAAAGCAACTTTCTTTCTGGGAGAACGTTCAAAAACTGCGCTTATAGACTACACTCGCCCCTATTCGTCAACTATTGTCCTTTACGTCACATTACCTAGGCCAAATTCATGCAAACGTATTCTGGTGAGTGTTTTCCTAAAGGACTTACCCAGACCTGCCCAATATGTCTAGTTCAGATTCTATAATCACTTGTAAAATTTAGAATAATGAAAATGTTATTACTACGACAAAATCCTTTCATCTGTACTCGCTCTACTCACAAACCAGTTTCCAGTTAGAATGGGGCGTTTCATCTCTGAGCCCATCACGTAACTTGATTAAAGAGTGCACTGACGGAACTAACAACAAAAGCTAGTTGAGCAACCACATGATACTTACCAAAGAGCGTCTCAGTAATATTTGTATTGACTTATGTACGAATTCGTTTGCTTACAAGGCTGAGATTTTCCCACTCTGATGCGCGGATGTACCTGTATTACACTTTAAGAAATAAATTCAACAAGGAACGCCTTCGAAATGTAACACTGACTGGAAGTCACTTGCTATTCTCTGTGAATACTGCTGTTTTGCCTATCTCTTTAAAATCCGCAAGCTTATGCGATGCATAATACAGCCCAAAATTTGTTTGCGTTCCATACCTTTAAAATTAAGTCATGGCGTAGTTCACCAGTAAACTCGCCAGGTTCCGACTGCGAAACGTGTTGTTTCGTCGCCAAAGATTCAAATGTAAGATTCGATGCGCTGACACAGGTCGAGGAAACTCGAGCCATTCTCCACGGTCGGCCAGTCAGAGGAAACTTACAGAGATTCGATAGGTATCAGATCGAGCGACTTGAATCACTTGGAAAAGATTGATAAAATTCGGTTTACTTCTTAGCGCAATTGTTTACCACTTTTCTGGTTCAAAACAATGCACGAATATTACGACGTTCAAAACTGAATTTGGAACTGCAATTTTTGACTATTCAAAGTAGTTCAAATAACAAAATCGGACGACGGCGAAGTGGGAGCCCGATCCATCATGAGTGTAGTTACGGACAGAATTGGATGTCACAAAGCCCTGTTACCAATTAATTAAAACTATGAAAAAATTTGAGAAACAAACTATTCATGACGCGTGCAGTCCAATGACACAGGCATGACACATACACCGTCCAATTACAAGCACGATGCGTTCATTATCCTATAAGTGCTCAAATCGGGCTGGTGATAACTATATATAATCACATTACAGAATTTTTTATAGATTTGATAAATGATGGTAATTGAACTGGGTGGAGTTTGATTTATAATGGTAATAGGACCGAGTGGAGTATAATTCGGTCTGTAAACATATTAGTGATTAACAAAATAGGACGATCGCGAAGTGGGAGTCTGATTTGTCAATCACGATGCATCAATCATATTTGAGGAAAAAGCGATGGATATGATTAATAATGGTAATAGGACCGAGTGGCAGGCAGAATTGGACGACAAGAAGTCCTGTTACCAATTAATCATAACCATTGCAATTTCCGAAAACAAAGAGACAATGTCTAAATTAAAAAAATTTCTCCATTTTGGAATTCCTTAATTTTTTTTGGATAAGTGGTTGTTGCTATGGTTATTGTGATTAATTCTGTGATTGGTGGATTTGGCTGAGTGGATTTAGTATGATTGGCTACTTCGACTGTCCGATTACAGCCAACTGGTGATTACAGCTCTACAAATGTTTAATGAAAAATAAAGCAGCTAATGCACCAATCATGTTTAAGTAAATTATAATGGTTATGATTAGGTCTGAAATCATACGAGTAAAGATTTTAGATATATGAAAATTTACATATTTGCACTGCGGTGGAAAGATGAAATTAGAAGATCCTCGCAGCTAAGAACACTACTGAAACGAGTAGTTGTAAGTAGGACCTGAAAAAAAATTTCAGGCCCGTACGGGATCTGAACCCATGACCTCTGCGATACCGGTGCAGCGCTCTACCAATTGAGCTAACAAGCCAACTGGGAGCTGGTCAATGAATTGGGTACAAATAAACATCCAAGTGAATGAAGATTTGATTCATTGGATGCTTATTTGTACCCAATTCATTTCAGCTCGCAGTTGGCTTGTTAGCCCAATTGGTAGAGCGCTGCACCGGTATCGCAGAGGTCATGGGTTCAAATCCCGTACGGGCCTGAAATTTTTTTCAGGTCCTACTTACAACTACTCGTTTCAGTAGTGTTCTTAGCTGCGAGGATCTTCTAATTTCATCATACGAGTAATTTCGAAATCGAACGAGCGCGTAGTGCGACTTTGATAGAAATCACAAGTATGATTTCAGACCAAAGTTGCGCAACAGGAAGTTCAATTGCCACTTTATTACATTCATTTTGAAATCGCAAAATTCAGTCCTTCAAATACAGGATTTTTGGTCTGTTCAAAGATTTATTGATCCAAGAATGAGCTGGTTTGTAACAGTTGCTAAAGTTGTCTTTCATTTACTCATATTTGATTGGTTACTTTAAACATATCTTGAAATCGGTTTGGTCGTTGTGTTTTCGTAAAGGTTTCTCATTGCATGGGAAAAAGATGCGATATTATTTAGAGCAAAAAATGGCGCGATTCGCGAATAAATCGCACCACTGAGAGCCAATCAGATTGGAAGGATTGCAAATGATTTAAAATGGACATGATAAATAATGACAATAAGACTGAGTTGAGTCCAATTCGGTCTGTAATCATATGGGTGAGTAAAAAAATCGGACGACCGCGAAGCGGCAAACCGCGTTTTTATCCCGGTATGATTACAGACAGAATTGAACGACACGAAGTCCTGTTACAAATTAATCAAAACTATGGCAAAATTTGATTCGACTATACAAACTTCGCTCCAACCAAGGGCTAACACTCGAAAGGTTGGGTTAAGAAACTCTTTGCGGTGGTCAATTTACCTTATAAACCAAATAATGTTGTTATGAATTTATCTTACACCGACGCAGCACCACAGTAAAACTTACCACCAACGTGTTCGTGTGGGTAATCATTCCCCTCTTGGTTACCCCCTGCCTCAGCCAATCAGCAATTAGTATATGTAATCACATGAGGCCAAGTACTATTAAGGATTAATTGCACGAGAGTTTTCAAAATTTTCCAAAATTTTGAAAACTCAAGTGCAATTAATCCTTAATAGTACGAGGTCTCATGGGATTACTTGTTTATCAATAAAGGGCAAAATTTATACGAAGGAAAATCACGCGCGCAGTCTATTTTTATCTGGGAAGCAACGGATTAGCAATGCAACGGATTAGCCAATCATTAACAGGTAATCATGCCCTCTCTTGATTACTAAAAATGCCCTCGATTAAGAAAAAAATGCCCTCTCTCTCAACCAATCAGCGCTCAGTAATTTTGCCCTTTATTGATAAGTAAGGTAATTTAGTTTCGTCAACTTGAGCTGATAACGTAAATTGGCCACCGTAAAGAACTTTAAAGCTGACGTTTCGAGCGTTAGCTCTCACTCAAAAAACGGATCAAATTTTCATGATTGACGTATTCCTTATTATGTCGAGGCAGGACGATGGCGCCTTTGAAGATTGGTAAGCCTTGACAAAATTTGGTAGGACAACAAATCCCCGGGCGTACTTGTCGCGCCGTTGTCGCGCATTTTGCCGAGTGACAGTAAACGGCTATCAATGCTATTGCAAGTTTATTTCTCTAATTTTGTCATAGTTTTGATTAATTGGCATCAGGACCTGTAAAATCGACAACAATCCTTTATGGTTGGCTAAAAAGTAGTAGTTTCGTCACTGCCGTCTCCAGAGACCATTCATTCAACCGATATTGTCGTGGTGTCCTCGTTTCACTTGAAGATAGATAGATAGATAGATAGTTTAATCTCAAATGCATTTGCAGCCCGAGGGC